AAAAAAAAAAAAAAAAACAGAGAAAGAAGGTAAAAACAAAAAAGGAAGAAAGAAAGATAGCTAGAAGCTCGTTATGGGCCCCGAATTCGACTCAGAATTGCTTTGTCCGATGTATTGACTGATATTTACAGCGGGTGGATCATCATGCAAAGGTGAGAAGACTATATACAGACCTTGGGAGCTATCACACAGAATCTAAAGCAGAGGCTGCTCAGAAAGCACTATCTACGAGGAAGGTGCCATGGTCCATGTCGCGGCATCGCAATTGATTTCTTCAAAGCTATGCAGGGCACTGAAGCCCATGCCGGAAAGGCAGTCAAGATTGCTGTCACCATCAACCTGTAGCAAACATCGTCAATAACGCCCTTTTGCAGACCGCTTCACTTTTCAAAAGAATGACTCACGCAATCCATTATCACGGCCTCGGCACCTTGTTTGCGGATTTGCTTGATGCCTAGTAAGATCAGGCCCTGCATGACTGTAGCGTACTCGCCGACCGATGGAGATATGACGGGAGACGAGATACCTCCGGCGGCAATTTGAAGCGATCTCAGAACCGGCATGTGCTCCGCTAAAGTTGCTCGTCCATTGTAGACGACTACGCTGCCCAAAATAGCACCATTACCGGGGCGGGTCGCCCGGATGATCCCACAGTGCGGGGATCCTCTCAAAGCCACTTTGTAGATATCTAGAACCCCTTGCCTGGAGTTCGTTTTAATGTGGTCCAGAATCGAATCTGCATAGTCCCAGCCATGAACAAGATCATAGGCCACATCCGCATGCTGGATGCCGTGAACCAAGCTGTCCGCTGGCGTCCAAGAAGACAAATTGCGCAGGACCGCGCTACAGACAGGCCGTGAAAGGGCCGTATTCCACCCCAAGTTCGCAAACCATTGGCGCAGCCTCTTGCGGTCCACCGGGTTTGCTGATGGGATACCCAGATAAATCCCCGGAAGGCGAGAGCCCAGGTGAAACCGTTTCATGCCCTTCCTGTGCAGAAGAGTTCGGATGGCACGATTGTGGAGAGAATTCCCTATAGATAGCTTCCGTCTTGCGGGATGGACGATCAAGGACCCAATGACGCCAGTGCCCGTGGATCGAAAGTAATACGTGGAGCAGAATCCGTATAAAGCCTGAGTACTGCTGTTGCGAACCACAAAGTGTGCCTCATCGATCTCTTCTTTGCGGAGCAGAAAGCTGGTAGATGTTACACCTAGCAACTCCGGACATTGTCCTTGCCCACAATCATCTCGGACAGCATTCAGTAGGGAGTCTAAGGCATGCGCATCCCTATCCTCATTCCAGCTCTCTACCAGCCAGTGTTGCCTCGCCTGGTGGAGCTTTTGACTGCGACTTATAGAACCCGGGAGTGACCCCACGGCGGTCAACTCTCCGTAAAGTACTTTGACCAAGGCCTCCAAGGCCGCTTCGGTGAAGTCATAAGTGCAAAGATAGGTTCCAATGGACAAGTCCATTGCAAAGTCATAAGGCGAGCTTGCTGCGACCACGATTAATGGTTTCTCGCGAGGTTCGCCTGATGGAGTGAATTTGGATCTACAGATCATAGACACGTGCCTAGTAAAACCATGTTGGTACAAGTTCCGGTTGGCGTCGGCGGTGACGACGATGACCGCGCTAGCCCGATCAATGAGGTCCTCATGAATCGGACGTACACCGTTGGACGTGTAGGATGTATGCAAAACACGACCACTGCGATGTCGGGAAAGGGACCTCCCAAGCTCTTTGAAGACACTTTCGCCACTCAAAACAGATGCTGTTCGATCCCACGCGATCGGGTCAAGAGATACGTTCAAATGCTCGTTCACGGAGCGCGATACAGCCGAAGCGGGCAGCGGCTTTACCAACGGTGTCAAGAGGAGCAGCTCCTCGTTTTGCTCGAGAATATTGGTCAAGGGTAGTAAGTTCTGCTTATCTCGGACAACTGAGATAGAACTGTTGTATGCTCGTGTGGAGAGACTCGTGTGGGACGGTTGCATTTGGGTGAGTAAAGTAAGACCAGGCGGGCTGAGGGCTTGCTCCCAAGACGTGCATTTGGCTTTCAAGCTCAACACTCTGCGGAGCGACTGCTCGATGCGTCCGCGCCCGATTATACCATTCTCCACACCTAGCTTCAAGCCACTGATGGCCTCTTGTTGAACCTGAAATGAGCGACAAAGAAGGATGATATCGCACCCGGCATTTTTGGCCATCACTGTCCCTCCACCGACGCCGATATTGTGGGTCAGGGCCTCCATCTCTAGGCACTCAGAAACGACCACACCTTTGAACTGAAGGTCTTTCCGAAGCAGATCATCAACCACTTGCTCACTGAGACAGGCGTGCATCACATTGACTCCGGCCGATGACATTGAAACGCCCCCTACCATCATCGAGTCCAAACCATGAAGGATTGCATTGCGAAATGGTACCAATGCGGTCAGACTAAGCTGCTCTAGGGACTCAGTAATGATTGGTACATCCGTCTGAGACCCGAGAAACTCCAAGTTACCATAGGAGGGGAAATGCTTGCCGCATGTCACGAGGCCTGCCTTCTGATAGCCTTTCATGAATTCGACGCCGTATTGTGATACTTCTTGTGGGTCGTCTCCTGTGGTGCGGACGCCTAAGGGTTGGTTGCGCACATTGGTGAGCACGTCGAGAACAGGACCCAAGATCCAGTTGACTCCTACGGCTTTGAGCTCTTGTGCCGTCGCCATCGCAACTTCATGGGCTAGGCTCTTGGACCCTGTCGCAGCGATACCCATCGCACTTGGGTATTGCCGGATGTAGATATCATCGTACAGGCTGTTCACTCCGCCGTTTTCCTGGTCCAGGGCGATTAGCAAAGGCACCGGATGGCCAGCATCCCGAGCGATTGTCTGCAGCTCAAGGACCAACCGTGTTGCATCTTCTGCAGCTAGACGTATATCAGTGCGTATGTCTAAAGACGGAATTGGGAGGCCGAGGGAAAGAAGCCATCAATGAAGACAGTGTAGCGGGGATGGGGCGTATGAGTACATTTGAGATTCTTTGCAGAGAGCAGAACCGAACCGAGGTGGTAGTTCTCGATGAGTGAGCGAATCTGAGGACTGACCGATGTTCCATCGAAGCCCATCATGAAAAGTTGCCCCATCTGCCTGTCCAAGCGCCATTATGGATAACGCAACTGTCAGCAGTGAACAGCTTACCCACTTACTAAATTACTCGAGGAAGACTCTGCTATAAGAGGCGCATTCCTCGTCTGAAAACACATATAGAGAGACAGGAAGGCAAATCCAAGGGTCAAAGCAATGCAGCAGCAGTATCGGAGAAAATGGTGAGGGACATTCGAGAGGAGCAAAATATGCCAAGACCAAGGTTAGAACCTACCTGTCTAGATCCTCCCAGCCAGGCGGCAGCATCTCTTTGGGGGCCATGAGGGCCCGGTGTGGAAGAACTATTCCAAACCAATAATGCGGGGGCGAAGATGGGTGTGCAGTGAAACAAATGATGATGAGCTGCAGACGTCAACGGATGCTTTGGAAAAGGGGGAGATAGTGCCAGAAACGGCAGTTTAGACAAGCTCCGGATTCCCTAGGCAGAGCCCCGGGCTGGCTGGCTGGCTGGCTTCGCTAATTGGACAAAGCCAGGGGTGTATCGCAAGAGTACCGTAGGAGTGATTGATAATGGCTGGAACCATGAGTGACGAAAACATGAAGCGGGCACGTGTGAGTACCAAGGAAGCAAGCAGTAAAGATGTCAGCCGGTAGTTGAATAGCTAGAGACCAATGGTTGGGAATCATTTATTCATTTATTCCTTTATTTGGTTCGCACATGCATTTCATCTATCCAGTTGTTCATTAGTTTATATCAGGGCTGGATCTCCGCGTCGAAACAGCAGCACTTGGTGGGGGGCGATCACAAAATCAGATAAGTGAGAGGCACCATGACTGGATCTTTGACCCGAAACTTCGCAAAGAGGAGAGAGAAAAACTTAGTAATTCTGTAACTTATTCGGTAACTGAACTTACCAGCCCCACTCAAACAGTGCCGTGCTTGGCACTTGCAGGCAAGGGTCACATGATGCCAGGCTATCAGATGAGCACGGGATGAAGCAATGAGTAAGTTAACTTCTACTGTACTGTACTGTACATATTCCCGTGTTATCTTCCGTAATGCATACAATCTACTGCACTGTACAGGAATGTACAATACAGTACATACTCTGTACTTTACAGTCTTATTACTGTTACAGTACATTTCAAAGGCAGTACCGAAACTGTCCGTTACCGAACAGGCCCGCGTACTCCCTCAGTCCATCTCCCTCCTTCCTGCCATCGAGGGGTTGCATGGCTGGAATGGATCAGTGGAATGAAACACTTCCATCTCTTTCAATTTTTAGGTTTGGCCTGCTGCCATCATGGATGACCGAATGCAACCGCAGCCTCTTGACGGCGTGGCGAATGATTAGCTAATTACTTTTTCTGCTTTCTTTTCTTTTCTTTCTTTTTATCCAAAGGTCAAGTCACGGTTCCTTCAACTTTATGTAACCAACATAGTTATCAAACTAAAGTTCACTACCTATAGATGATGGTGGTGGATCACCGGTGGACCTGCGCTCCCATGCCACCTTTGTCTGTAACAGTATCTATCATGCTCAGCCCAGAGTTTCCGACAATGCTATTTGTAACAAAGGCTTTCTTTCTTGTGCACTGCTCGTCGTTCCCTCACATACTTATTTTATAACAACTGTGACAATCGGGGCACATGCAGCTGTAATCTCTCCGTGGTATGGCCACTGCGTCATCGATAGCTCCACGCCTCTAGCGCACATGCTTTCATATGACTGCTGGACCTACAGTAGATGGTGATTAGGATAAATCAGTAGGTATGTAGGCTGTCATCATCCTTAAAGCCGAGCCGGAATTGCTTCGATGGACGTCACCTACAAAAACGTCCAGATCGAAGTAACATCATTCTGTCGCACCCCCTTTCGTTCCCCGTAAATTGAAACTGTTACAGAGCCGTGGTTTGACAGAAAGCTAGTGGCCACGCTTCTATCTTCTGTCAAGCACTTACAAAGTGCTACAATTCCTTTCATTCTCTTCCCCAGCCAGGAGCTAGAACTCTACACATTTGTACCCAGGATCGCTACCCCCAGCTTCTGTTTCGCCCTCCATTCCCATCCTCTTCTGTTTCAATACATCTTCCAGTGCTATATACCAGATTCTACTTGTCTGCTAGCTGGAATCACATTTGGCAAGCTTGACTCACTCATACCCATTGGTATTTTCCTTCCCCGGCATTGGCCAAGTCGCTCCCCGCATAACGGAATATTTTCTACAATGTAAGGTGCTACATATCCTCCAAACCTGGATCAAGACTGACTCCACTTGGAAATAGGCGAGTTATCATCCGCAACACTGCTCTGGAGGCTTCGGAATACATTGCCGATTATATCATCAGTATGTAGATGAACCCCCGGCCCCAGCGTGAGGCCTGAAAAGTTGATCGTGTTGGGCCGTGGCCTGCATTCGTACTCTTACGTGGATCACATCTAATCTTCAGGCAGGCCGCATCCAGAAGTTTCGACCAACTGAAAGCCAGCCATTTGTACTCGGCTTGCCAACCGGAAGTAGCCCGGAGATCATCTACAAGACTCTGGTAAACCGGCACAGGAAAGGCGAGATATCCTTTAAGAATGTCGTGACTTTCAACATGGTACGTATATTCCTCTCTTCCGCGAAGTTGCATGGCTTTTGTTGACCGAAGCAGGACGAGTATGTCGGATTGCCTCGGGATCATCCAGAATCATACCACAGCTTCATGTATAAGCATTTTTTCTCCCATGTGGACATCCCGCCCCAGAATGTTAACATTCTTGACGGTAACGCTCCGGATCTCGCGGTCGAGTGTGCTTCCTTCGAAGCCAGAATCGCTCGGTACGGCGGCATTGAACTCTTCCTAGGTGGTGTGGGTCCCGATGGACATATCGCCTTCAACGAGCCAGGCTCATCATTGAGCAGTCGTACGCGGGTTAAAACTCTGGCATATGACACGATCTTAGCCAATTCGCGATTTTTCGACAATGATGTAGATCAGGTACCCCGGCATGCATTGACAGTTGGCATTCAGACCATTATGGAGGCACGGGAGGTGGTGATAGTTGCTACCGGTGCTCACAAGGCTCTCGCAGTGGAGAAGGGCATTGAAGGGGGCGTCAATCACATGTGGACGCTCTCGGCCTTGCAGTTGCACCCACACCCACTCATTGTCTGCGATCGGGATGCGACTCTGGAGCTGAAGGTTAAAACAGTGCGTTATTTTGAGTCTATCGAACAAGCCGGTACAGACGCGCGCACTCAAGGCCCGCCTCTTACTTATCGACCTCGGATGTACGTTCCCGGCCCGGTTGGGCTGGGCAAGACTCACCAGGAACTTACCCCCCAAAGTACACCACAAAAGGTCCCGAAGGATTTGAGAATCAATACGGAATTAAGTCGCTCCATGGAAGACGATGAATTAACACCTGACAGTATGTCCTCACGAATGGTTGACTCGGCGATAGGCGGGCTGGATTCAGCATTGAAGGGCGATTTGTTTTTCGACCGCATGGGAGCTAGGGTTCTTTCACACTGATTGCATGTCTTAAGAATATAACAGAATTCGGATTGGGGTTATTCACAGAAGAGCCGCTGAAGGTAAAGGGAAATGTAATCTGACCGCGGAAGACTGAATCGACTTGTTTGCTTGGCTTGATCACTCAGTTGACTTTGGCATGATTTTCTCAAGTTTGAAACTCCTCGGAAACCCCATCTTCGCAGAAGAGCTGAGATGGAAGATTAGTTAGCCGGGGAGTAGGGATTGGCTGTGCTCTAACTCATTAGACAAGAAGCATATAACAGCGCCACCTGCAAGCGGTTGTAATTTGAACTTGGGCGGCAAAGAATCGCGCTGAAACTCAAAAGGCTAGCTTTGGATTACAGAGTGTGATAGATTGACGATTGTTAGCCGATGGGATGTGCTGAGCGCGACCTCGGACAATACTACTTGCTCTTCATACGGACCAATTTGCTCAAGTCGACGAATAGTTGATCCCAGCAGCACTATACGAAGTTCCTGCACTAGAGCCACCAAGCACCAGCTACTCAGTATAACGACCACTTGGAGTGGAAGAGTAATCATCCACTTACTAGCAGCCCATAAATGGCTTGTACGTAATTCACTGTGCATTCTAGGAAGTAATATATACAAATTTTAAGATGTCACAATTACAGCTTGGCGAAGACAGTGGCTACCGCTCCATTCATATCAACGAGGGTGCTCTTATTCTTTACCCATGCCTCAATACCCTTGCGTCCGTTCTCAACTCCGACCCCGCTCTTCTTCCAGCCACCAACGGCCATCTCAGCAGGGCTCTCACCCCAGCTATTGATCCAGGTAATTCCCGCCTGTAGCTGGTCAATAACGCGATGGGCCATATTGAGATCCTTGGTAAAGACTCCCGCAGCTAGGCCGAGCTCAGTGGTATTCGCTCGCCTGACCGCCTCTTCCACCGTCTCATAGGATAGAATAGACATCACAGGGCCGAATATTTCCTCTTGAACAATGCGCATGTCATCTGTGCAGTCAGTGAAGACCGTCGGGCGCACCCAAAATCCTGATTCCAACTCCTTCGGAACACTTGGCTTGCCCAAACCGCCGTAAAGTAGAGTAGCATTGTCTGTTTCGATACCGTGGCGGATGTAAGAGAGTACCTTCTCGAGGTGTAAAGCCGAGCTCAAGGGACCGAGGTTGGTTGAGTCATCAAATAAAGGCCCAGGACGGATGTACTGCATCTTTTCCAGAAGGCGCCTCTCAAACGTGGTCTTCATGCTAGCGGGGATGAACACCCGAGTACCATTAGTACATACCTGACCGGTACTATAGAAGTTTGCCATCATGGCCCCGTCTACGGCATTCTCGAGCTCCGCGTCCGGCAAGATGATGAGGGGGCTCTTGCCGCCCAATTCCATGGTGACATATTTCATATTGCCAGCGGCGGATCCAGCCACTTTCATGCCCGTGGATACTTGGCCTGTGAAGGAAACTTTTGCAATCGTAGGATGAGCAGTCAAGTACGCCCCAACGTCGCCGGCACCGTAGACAACATTGAATACGCCGGCGGGTAGACCGGCTTCCGTGTAAATTTCGGCTAAGGTTTGTGCATGCAGCGGCGTAAATTCGCTTGGCTTGTAAACCATAGTATTGCCCGCAGCCAGGCAGGGAGCGGATTTCCATAGCGCACTGCACATAGATTCTTAGCCATCCTTGTCATCCATTAAGCATCTTCCACATTGCAAAGGAGAGGGGGGGTGGGGGGGGGGGATTTGAGCGGCCGAGGAAGAAGGCTGACTAACATTTGAATAGGGTAGTTCCAAGCTCCAATGCCCACGCAAACACCCAACGGAGACTTTTTGGTGTACACCCAAGCATCTTCTCTCAACTGTGTGGTCTCTCCATTCAGCCCGCCACCTCCAACCAGATTTGCATAGTACTCGAGTACGTCGGCTCCGGTGACGACGTCGACAGTGCTTGTCTCGGTATATGCCTTGCCTGAGTCAAGAGTTTCAACACGAGCGATATCGTCGTTGCGCTCGCGGAGCAGGGCGGCGGCTTTCTGGAGAATGCGGGCACGTGCAACGGGTGGTGTTTGAGACCATGAGGGGAAGGCCCGGTCGGCGGCAGCGATGGCTGCATCTACATCGGAATGTGAAGCAACCTGGATCTCAGCCAAAGGACTGGCGTTTGAGGGATTGATAGATTGGAAGGCTTTGCCTGAAGAGGCAGGCTGGGTCTTGCCGTCATAATACAATTCGCGAGTAGAAAAAGCGAGGGAAGACATGGCTCTGATAGGGAATTTGAGCCCTATTGCTCTACTGATGCGAAGAGGGAGAATGGTGTGTAAGGAAAGGAGAAGGCCCGTGGGAGGAGGGGAAGGGGAAAGAAGATAAGGATGCCCGTATGATTGTACGGCACTGTTTCCGAAGAGAAAGGACCACAAATCCTATCTGGAGTTGTATGGAAAAAGTAAAAAGTAGATGTAATGAATGAAGTTGCAAGATTGCTCCGAGGCTCATTAGTTCTAGGTAACTAGCCCGGAGCAAGATCAGACGCAAGTGTGGCGGAGGAACTAAGCCCGAATAGGATCACAATTGGCATGACTCGGGAGGTGTGCAGGCTTCCCGAGTCACCGCCAAACCCGGCGGCGGGTGTTCAGGCTTACCTAATACGAACGGCAGCGATCCTCCGGCGGCAGTGTAAGTTAAGTGGTGTAACGGCCGTTTCAGCTACGGAGGACGAAGCCCATGCGGACGCGATAGAAAACCTTATCGAACAGCTGGTTACAAGCCATGATGAGGTGAACAGAAAGAGAAGAAGAAAAGTTCCTTGTACTATGTAGCATTCATCTTAACTTGCATGCCGGTCTATTATTCTCTTGCTCAATCCGGTATACCTGTGCTGCCGCCTATTAACTCAACCCTAAGGCCTAAGCAGGCAATGCGATCCCGGAAAGCCTTCGGCCCTACATCTCCGATGGAGTTTACCATTGACTAGTGCCCCGTTCGCGGGATCGTGGCGCGGCCTAGTGTCGGGTCTCATGTGGAGTACTGACGTCGTAGGAGATGGGCGGACCGCGGAAGGTCAACGAGGAATTGAGGACCAATGGATTCTATAGGTAAGCACTTATGCATTAATGGTCCGTCCTGCGCGATATAGTATGTATAGACGATGGGAGGGATGTTGGAGCCGAAGCTTATCAGTTTACACTATACAATACGTACTAGTTACTATAGGTACCCATGCAAGGACAGTAAGATGCCCGGGTCGGAGGGAGGGAGGGATGCCGACTCGGGCTAGTCAATTAGTAACCTTAGAATAGGAAGGGATTTCCTTGGCCAGTGAGAATCTGTGTGGGGTGCACATAAGTTAGTACGTAGTATTGTTTTCTAGGTACTACAGTAATAACTACGGAGTGAGTACCGTCTATGCACAGCAGACTACTTTCCAATGGGCACACCGCCGAGGCTGAGCTAGTGCCCCACTGCGGCGTACTTTCCGCCACACGACTATCATTATTGGATGATCCGGACTCGGTGCCTTATCCTGGGGTGGAGATTTTCTCCCAGTCCAGGAAATTTATGGGAAAAAAGAACAAAGGAAGAAGAAGATGAGGGAAAAAAGGTGTGCGGGAGAGCATGGAGTGGAAATGAAGGGAATTGTTGGCAAGTTTTAGGAGAAGAAAACATGGCCTGATAGTTTCGGGGTAGACTCGCCGCGTCTCCCTTTCCAATACTCAATTTAAAGACATTTGCTTCCCCTCGTCCCCGCCGTCTTCTCTCTTTTTCCCCTTCCCGCCCGCCCCGTTTCCTCCCTGCCATCATTTTTGTTATCTCTGGTACTTTCTCACGACCCTAATCTCCTGCTTTGGGATTGGATTTGATTTCATCTTGCTCAGCATGGCAACCACCAACGACTTTCCCGCCGGCGATGTCAACAGTTATGACTACATCATCGTGGGAGGTGGTACAGCAGGCTGTGTCATTGCTAGTCGTTTGGCCGAGTACTTGCCTAACAAGCGCATCCTGGTGATTGAGGGCGGTCCCAGTGATTTCATGGATGACCGCGTGCTCAACCTGCGTGAGTGGTTGAATCTGTTGGGAGGCGAGTTGGACTATGACTACGGTACAACTGAACAACCAATGGGTATGTAGAAATCGACCGGCCCCGGTCCAGTAAAGAAAGAGATCTAGGCCCAATACTCATTGAAGATTCATACAGGCAACAGTCATATCCGTCATTCTCGTGCTAAGGTGCTGGGTGGTTGCTCCAGCCACAATACCTTGATCTCTTTTCGTCCTTTCGAATACGATTGCAAGAGATGGGAGCAGGCCGGCTGCACAGGCTGGTCCTTCGAGACCTTCACCCGCGTCCTTGACAATTTGCGCAACACCGTTCAGCCTGTTCACAGCCGTCACCGTAATCAACTGTGCAAGGACTGGGTCCAGGCTTGCTCCAGCGCAATGAACATCCCCATCATCTCTGATTTCAACAAGGAAATCCGCTCCAAGGGTGAATTGACTGAGGGCGTTGGCTTCTTCTCCGTCTCTTACAACCCCGACGATGGCCGCCGTAGCAGCGCCAGTGTCGCTTATATCCACCCCATTCTCCGTGGTGAAGAGAAGCGTCCGAATCTGACCATCTTGACCAACGCCTGGGTGTCACGCGTCAACGTCGAGAGTGACACTGTCACTGGTGTTGATGTCACGCTGCAGTCTGGCGCTAAGCACACCCTACGGGCTAAGAAGGAGACGATTCTCTGCGCAGGAGCTGTTGATACTGCTCGCTTGATGTTGCTCTCTGGTCTGGGTCCGCGTGAGCAGCTGAGCTCTCTTGGCATCCAGGTTGTTAAGGACATCCCTGGTGTCGGCGAGAATCTCCTGGATCACCCCGAGAGTATAATCATCTGGGAGCTCAACCGTCCTGTGCCTCCCAACCAGACTACCATGGACTCTGATGCCGGGATCTTCCTACGTCGCGAGCTTCCCAATGCACATGGTTTTGATGGTCGCGCCGCCGATATCATGATGCACTGCTACCAGATCCCCTTCTGCTTGAACACCACTCGTTTGGGTTATGACACACCGGTAGATGCGTTCTGCATGACCCCTAACATCCCTCGCCCCCGCTCCCGTGGTCGTCTCTTTTTGACCTCGGCTGATCCCAGCGTCAAGCCCGCCCTGGACTTCCGGTACTTCACCGACCCGGAGGGCTACGATGCTGCCACCATTGTCGCTGGCTTCAAGGCGGCCCGCGAGATCGCTCAGCAGTCGCCCTTCAAGGAGTGGATCAAACGCGAAGTGGCTCCTGGTCCCAAGGTCCAGACGGACGAAGAACTCTCAGAGTACGGCCGTCGCGTAGCGCATACTGTGTACCACCCGGCTGGAACCACCAAAATGGGTAACTTGGCCCGTGACCCTATGGCCGTCGTTGACCCTCAGTTGAAGGTGCGGGGCCTCAAGAATGTACGTATCGCGGACGCGGGTGTCTTCCCAGAGATGCCTACCATCAACCCCATGTTGACCGTGCTGGCCATCGGTGAGCGTGCGGCTGAACTGATCGCGGAAGAGGCCGGCTGGAAACGCGAGCAGCCTCGTCTGTGAACGCCTCCTCCTATAGGGGACTCCCCACTCGCCTTTATCCTATTCGTGCTACGAAATGGCACAAACATAAATGAAGGATATCGGCGTTGGAGAGAGTGTATCATGCGTGGTCCCAGCGCGTGAACTTCTTTTGCCTCTGGTCTTGAGACTAGCGATAGGCCGGCTATATACGTTGGGCATTGCCAGTTGCTTGATCTATGATTTACGAATGATGAATCACGGAGAGGATGCGTGCAAGGAACTGGGAAGGGTTTTCTTGAATTCTAGGATCAAAGGACTGCGCCGCCACTTATTGTACCAACACCTGTCTGTATATTAGCATTGGCGAGTTATCGCGCCGAATTTAGAACCAAAGACATAGATTTCAACGAGTGATAAATATGTTGTTGATATCGACGATGAGGGCTACTTTTTGTTGAGGTCATGAACAGTGCTTGGTATGGGTGTGTTGTCATTGAAACAAGGCGCCGCGTCAAGCAACCGGAAAGGCATGAAGTTGACATTCCCACGACATCATCAAGCATCCTTAACAACATACCTTGATTAGGGTGTGAGATCATTCTGCAGCTAATCTGTTTTGGCCGGACAGAAAGTGGTTGCAGGTCAGCTGTACTGCTTTTTCGGTTCATGTGGAACGAAAACTGCTTACTAAGCAGTTTGGTCACGTGATTTTCAAGCGACCCTGTTACCTTTACAAACCAAAAATTTTATTCTACACCATCTTTTCAATACTCTTACACATACTATTTCTAGGTGATTTTTCTTAGAAAGTACTTATTAAGTACTTAGAAAAATCACCTAGAAAAATTATAAATATATTTTTAACTATTAAAATTATAAGTACTTAGAAAGTACTTAATAAGTATTTTAAAAAATAACTTAAAAAATTATAAATATATTTATTAACTACTAAAATTATAAGTACTTAGAAAGTACTTATTAAGTACTTAAAAAATAACTTAGAAAAATTACTTAGAAGTAAGAGTATTTAAAGAATATAAGAGAAAGTTGAATTTCAATAATAAAAAACAGTAATTTATAAGGTCACTTGGAACGTTCCTGCTTAT